AAACTGTATCGAAAGCTTTCTCAAGATCAATTAGACGCGCACTTATGCACTGTTTATTATTCAGAGCCCAGTTAATGTCTGATGTGAGTTTATTAACAGCATTGTAGAATGCCTGTATCGGAAACCAAATTGGTTTTCGGGTATTATATCATTATTATTGCAGAAACTTGTTATCGCGTCATTAATTAGAGTTTCGTATACCTTACTAATATCCATACAGCACAGATCTTGCAACAACATTACAGCAACATTGCGGCAACACTGCTGCAACTTTTAACATTGCTGCAGCGTTGCAGCAATATTGCTGCAAGATCTGTGCTGTATGGGTATTAAGCAGGAGACTTATGGGACGATAGTTTGAAAAGTCGGAACTGTCTTTACACTTTTTCAAAATTGCAATTACCTTGGCCTTTTTCCATTGTGATGGGAAGTGCATTTTGTTTAAAAGATTGTTAAATAAAATTGTATAATAATAAATAATCTTTTTTGGAATGCTAATATCTTTTTTTACGAAGGAATCGCTTTTACTAATGAATCCAATTTTGTGTCATTTGGTGGTATCTGTTTATTAATAAATTTTTTCTTATTTAGTTCAAGCATCAGATAGCCACGATAAGAAGCGGGATGTCCATAATTCTTGCAATTTATACAAAATAATTTTTCTCTGGCCAGCATATTACTAGCATCGAATCTACAGCTACTCGGATCGTGACCTGCGTTATATTTGACGCATCTGTATTGCATATTACAATTTGTTTCTACATGGCCTAATCTCTGACAGCGCTTACATTGAATAATATATTTCCTTCTTAATTTTTCTCAATTAAATAAATAAATAAAATTAAATAAAAACTAACGTATCTAACATTTTTTAATTTGTCGACCTGACTATCTGTTGATAATTGAACAATATATATAGGTAGTAATTTATTTCCCTGAATGGACCTTTTTGTAGTGAAATGATTTACTTTTTGAAATTTGAGTTGAGGTATCTTTAAAGAATTTAGTTCGTCCAAAATTTCTTTTTCTTCAAAGGAATGATTTAAACCTTTTAGTAAAAATGTCGGTAATTTATTTTCTTTAGGTGTAAACGTATAAAAATTTGTGTTAGCTAATTTAAGTATTTTCTGTGTCTTTTTGTAATTATCTAAAGAATCTAACTGTAATATGTGTTTAACATTATTTAGTCTTTTGATTGTAAAATTTATGTCACCTAATTCACTCTTAATAAGTGTCATGGTATCTTTGGGATCCTGATATAAAATGTTAAAAGGCGGCGGTTTATTACTGGCGGTATTTTCCCTAGTAGCGGTGATCCGGTGGTCAGTGGTTGCTGTTGACTGAGGAACTAATTGAATATCAGTCTTAGATCGCCTGTTTCTGTTTTCCAACAAACTATCGCTGATGCTGGTAGAAATAGCGGAGTTGCAATTTTTTTTTCCTCAATTCCGTAAGGAATGTCATATTGTTTATATTACTACTTGAATTCTTCGTTTCAAGATAAATCGTTAAAATGTCAAATTTATTTGATGTTGATATATCAGATGTTATCAGCTCAGAATGTTTTGATTTAATGTTGAGTTTCGTTATCTGAATATTTTCTTTATGTTGTTCGTGAGTTTGACTTTGACTAACATATTTATTTGTTGATTATCGATATCCATATTTAAAAACAAACTTGACTCTAACGGTTTTGCTATAATATTTTTTTTCTACTTTTAACCAAAATTAAACACGGAACTTGCGTGATTCTTCGCTTTTTTACTCCTTTCAGCGACTTACTTTTTAACAGTTCTCGGCTGGCACGATCCAGAAGATGCACCTTGCCGAGGACTTTTTTGGTGTATGGAGATGGATCTCCACTCATTCTTTCCGTTACAGATATTTGAGAATTGTATGATTCCTTAACTCTCGGATCATTTCCGAGTTTGGCGGCGGCCGAAGCCTCCTCAACCGTAGCGTTGTTTTCCACGATTGGAAAATATGGCTAACAATTATATCACTGATTTACAAATATGATTAAAAACTCAAGGTTATGACAGGTAACAAGTACGTATCGATAACAAGCGCACAAGCGAACAATAACAACTTCACTCTTCGAAAGCTCAGAGTGAACTGACGAGAACTGATGCTTTCAACGTAGTACCGTTGACACTTGCACGTTTTCTTCACAGAATTCACAGAAAACCTATTGGACACATATCACATAGTTCTAATATTTTCATTACTTATATAAGGTAAATAATAATAAAATAGTTGTAAATTACCAACAAGATTTTTTAAAAGAGAAAAAAGTAAAAGAGATGACGAGTTGACGCTTCTTACTATTATTTTTTTAGTTATTTAAATAATTATTTGAATAATAAGTAGCTGTGAAATTTTTCGTCTCCTGTGAAATGGGACGTCTCCTGGACATCTGTGCTGTTAGGGAACATAAATTATATAAATAATTTAGACGAATATCTTTGACTTGTTTTATTGAATTTGTTTGTATTATATTGATTTGCAATATTTTTATTTTGGATATTGTACAGTTCACATTACAAAGTACATTTTACAAAGTTACTTGTTTTCTGGCTTGGTGAAAATATTAGACACGGCGTTTTTGTCGCGAAGACTTCATATTTATCGTATTTATGAGAAAAGAAAAAAAACAGATCCATTTAAGGATAAATTAGATATTAATTTATCAGGAAAAGAAGCAGTTAAAATGATTTGGCAATGTACTAATCAAGATGAAGACACGAACACTACTTCCTTCAAGATTTTAACACGAGGAAATCGAATAAATTGATTGTATTGGGAATTATTCGTGTTCCAAAGTCCTCTCTGTTCCACTCACACATATGATTAGCATAACTTATCGCAGCAAACGCAGTCTTCCGATGCCGAAACGGGATTCCCTATATGACGTCATCAGGCATTCCACAGTATCCCGCAGTGATGCCATTTATAGGTCCAGGTAGCATGCTCTAGCGCTTCTAGCGTGATTATCCTATTGTGTATGTGTTCTGGTATTCAAATTATTATAACCTTCCTTTTTTCTTTTTGCTTAATTTATAGTACCTTCTTGCTTGAGAAAGATTTCTAACATTTACGTGCTTAGGTTTTCCGCTGAAAATGTGGAAGCAACACATTTCCACATATGGTATATAAGAAGTACGAAAAGGATAGCATGATTGTGTTAGTGACGATCGTTTCTACCATGGACGTAAGAATATTTGGACAGAACACCAAGTGCGATTATAGACGAGGGGCTGTGAAGCCTAAGGGAAAAGAGGGGTACATCGTTGCGATCATGTTGATACAGGCGTTTTTGTACCTATTTTCACTCTGTTAAAATAACGACCGTCGCCATCTTGGTACATCACTTCCTTATAATACATACAGGGCCGTGCAGGTAAATCCGGAAAAATTTACTGAAAGAAAAAAATAATTATATTATCCCCAAAAATTTTTTTACATGCACACAACTTGGCAAAATGAAAGTACTCACCACATACGTTAATATTACTCTATATAATCCCCGTTCGCCTCAACGACCTGCTCCAGCCGAGACCTGAATCGCCTACACGCCCGAGCCAGCTCCTCTCTGTTCATATTGGTCATTACCGCCGTAATTTTTTTACGTAGCGCGTCCTTTGTGTTATGAGGTTCATTGTTCACCTCTGCCTCTACTACGCCCCACACGTAGTAATCCAGCGGATTGCTTAATGTCGTTTAGCAGTGCTTGGCATTTGATTTTCCGGTTGACTTTCATGGCGTCCGTCAGCAATTGTCGCCTCCGTAGTACATACGATTTATAATGCAGATCCTGGTGAACTGCACGACTCACTGTTGCACGATGTACGCCCATATCTTTGGCCAACTTTGCCATACTGGTTCCAGGACTCTGGTCAATCCGATCCTTTAACTGATCGATGAATTCACCAGTCCGCTTCCGGTCAGATCGCTTGCTGTGGCTTGCCCGGTCCGAAGTAACGTCGTCCTTGTTGTCCGCCTCTCGATAGGTTTTGGCTATCTCGTAAACTTGCGTTTTTGAGTAGCCAAACCAATCCACAATCTCCTTGGCGGTCTTCCCGGCGCGCAGTGATTCCAGGATCGCACCTCTCCTGTCCTGTTCTTTGCTCATCTTTCCACTTTCACTTTATACGTTGTTTCACTGTCAAAGTACGCTTCTTAAGCTTTAATTAGAAACCTAGAACACCAAAATCCAATAACACATCACTTCACTATACCTATCTAAACTTTTTCCGGATTTACCTGCACGGCCCTGTATATCATTCCCCTCATCCCTTAGGTTTCACCTTCGCGATAATATGCTCCGTGTAGATATTCTTACGTACATAGTTTCTACGTTATCGACATTGTTCGAGTTCGTCATCAACTTCAGCATCCTCTTAATAATATATTTTTCGTAGTGGACATATACCATAATTATGCATTATTATACATGGCTATATAGGGACAAAATTTATACATACTTGTAAAATTGATAAATGTTCCAAAAACTATACTTTTTCCTTGATAGCTAAAATAGTCGTAAAGTAAATGTAGCAAAATCACAAGGAAAAATAGATTAAGGAGTAAGATTGCATCACATTAATTTTACGGCTACTTATTGACTGTTAGGATAGTTGTTTTTAAATCTATTGACCCCCCCCCCCCCCCC